AACTTGAGTGACAAGAAATATAACAGCAGAAAGACAAACTTCACAGGTTCTCAGTGCTCGCTGCCAGAGCAGACAGCTGTGGAATGGCACAAGAGGCGAGGCAGTTTTGCGTTGCAGGGGAATTTCGGTTGAGAAGAAGGCATTGTCTATGGTCAGTGGCCACCCCTGCAGACTGGACAGGGCCGGTTCGGGTGTGAGCTACAGAAGCACCGTATCCAATTCTCGCAGTTCCAGTTGCTGCATCACATGGCACTGTGTACACAGATGTCACAGGCTACATGGCTCCTACATGCTAGCAACACAGAGGCACACTGCCGGCACAGTGTCAGTAATAGTATAGGCATCGCAGTTCTAGGCCCTGTCTACGAACAGAACATGCCATGTAAGGGGGTTAGACATGAGTACAATGTTGAACGTCATTATGCATATGAAAACAAAGAGTTTCACGGGCTATACCTAGGAAGCATGCATATCAAACGCTGGCCGAATCTCAGGTGGGCCATCACAGTGAGGCATTGAGCAAGTTCCTTGAGTTTCGGCAGCCAATATTCCCTCTCTATGGGCAGGCAATGATGGGGCCTGATACGAAATAAGGGTGTTTAGCTGTTGCAAGATCTGATCTGCAACAGCTCACCCTGCGGCAATAACCTTTTTATACGGCGCACTGCAGGTGGTTCATGTGAGGGCCTATTCTCCACCTCAGGATGCTGCGTCTGTTGCTCATCTGGCGAGGATGGAGGAGATCGGATTACGGGCACAGCCGGAGGATGCCCAATGTTGCATGTGGGACATGAATGGAGAGGACCTGGCTGGTGATGGGATCGGGGATAGTCTATGACGTAGACATACATACTCTCTTTTTTTTTTTTTTTCAAAAAGATTGTGTACGTTTGGGCTAGGATGTCTGAAATTCTTGTCCAGTGGCGCACAGATCAGCCCACATCGCACCCAGGGGCCAGGGCTGTTGATGAGGGTGGAAGGCTGAGCTGGGAGACCTTTACAGTACCCAGGCACTTGGCTGTCACCTTCGTTCTCCATGAGACGCTGCGAGACCCCCGCATCCGCATAGTGAACCCCTTACCACGACTGGCACAATCTGTCAGGCCATTCCCCATGGGGTGCCTGACCGGGGTATGTGAATGCGCTCTTGCACAGCTGTCAGATCGCAGACAGCAAATGCAAATCTAGACCTGGTGAGCTAGCCACTAATGAGTGCCACAAGGTGGTGCCAGGCACGACCTTATCTCAGCTTCAGATGGCAAGCTCTGGACTCTCCCCCTTGAGTCGAACTCGAGCCATCTATGCTCGTTCCAGATAACTGGCAACCTGCCCTGAAGCAACCACTGGGCATGTCAAGGATTGAGCGTGCGACCTGTGCCCCCAAAGGGCGGGCATATTTCGAGCTTGTACTAAGTCCAAAGTTGCAGCATGCGTCACAAGCTCCCACCCGGCTTGGCGAGACCCTAGGGAAGCAGGGGGCACAAGCACCACAAGCGCCCACTCAGAGCTCAGAGATCTACTTGGAAGAACCTGCCTCTGGATCATTTGGAATACCCTAGGATCAACCAACAAGCCTATCAGAAGCATGGGCCGAAGCTAGAGAAATGATAGAGGAAGAAATCAAAGCAGCAGTCCTTCGGGACATCCGTTAAAATTGGAACGATACAGAGAAGATCAACATGGCCCCTGCGCAAGGATGACACACATAAATCGAGAAATGGTCCAAATTATATATATAAAAAAAAAATCAAAGCAGCATGGCGAAAATACCTCCGGAGGATTGATAGGGAAGTGCATCCGCTGAGAAAGACGGGCCAACAGAAAGAATTTGTAACAGAATGGCTTCTGGAAAGTGGGACGGTAAATATTGAGAGCGCATCTCTTATATTCAACGACTGGTGTAGCACAGGCCCATCCCAACCCAGGATCCACCAACAGAGGCAGAGGAATACCTGGATGGGGAATAACAAGGCGCCAACTCTCGGGCCTGTTTTTTGGTCATGTCAGGGAAAACAGGGGTGGAGCAGTGGTACATCCTTCTGGAGAAAAGGAAGTAATCAAGGCTGCTGTCCCAGGCTCCCCTAACCATAGCAAAGGAAGGTGTTGTGAATGTTGCTTGTAGGAGGGGCGCTGGACCCGGTTTCCAGTTCTAACTACAATGAGGAAAGTGAAGTAATAGTGAGACAGAACCTGACAGTTAATCCTTCCATAGGGAAGCAATCATTGCTGTCAGGTAGATCCATTTTTCGCTTGGCAAATTTAGTGCACTAGAACTTACAATCACAAACCATACAGGGCTTGATCGGGGTCACGTAAGGTTACAAGAGCAAGTCCTTACCACAGTGTGAGGAACAAGCCCTCAAGGGTCCCTATCAGACATCGCATGTTCTGGGCTAAGGCCCCACCAAGCCAAGTGCCCGCCCTAAGTGAAGGCGGGCCTGAATATTCGTCACAGGCCAAAATTCGACATTTCCATATGTGGGTATTCAGGCTCTTGCAGCGCGTCAGTTGGTTGAGTGAACGCGCGAGCCTCACTAAGCTGCGTTGTGCAGTTGGCCCAGGCCACGACCTGGGCACCTACACACAAAGCATGGCCGATACATTGAGAAGCAGGCCGTCGGCCTTTGGAAAAGCAGTACAGCCGACGCATCTACCTGGGGGCCCTGCACAGATGCAGCTAACAGCCCAAGTCCGGAGACTCAGGCCGCGCCCAACTGTAAAGGGCCCAGGCCCTCAACTGTAAGTCTCGGCCTGGGCACAGGGTCTGAGGCCCAACAGGAAGCTACTGGAAGCTTCCAGCCAGGCCACACGCAGCATCCAGCAGGCTGCCACTTCCATAAAGGAAGTGAGGCAGCCCAGGCGAGGCATTCTGGCCAGCGCTGGCAATGCGGAAGTGCTGCTGCGCTTCTGCTTGATGCTGCGCTAATGCCAGGGGCGCTGACCGAGCGCTAAGTGGTGAGAGGGGCGCTGCAGGGCAGCGGGGCGCAGGCGGCCATAGCCGGGCTGCTAGGCGCCAGGGGGTACAGCGGATGATCGGGTGGTCTTCAGGGAGTGAGGCGCTGTGTGGGATAATCAAGGTCTGATTGAGGGTGACGAGTTACGTACCTGGTACATGAAGAGGGGTCGCCGATGGTGTTGACAGTCATGTACATTGGTCTTCGTGAGCCGAAGTGATCCTGTTGTGTGAACCAGCTGTAGAGTAGGATAGTATGGTAGAGTAGGCTGGGCGCTGTGCGCCAGACAGAGAGAGCGACTCTGGATACTGTGTTGGTGTCGCCTACAGGCTTGGACATTGGCTCAATACTTCATTGCACTGCTCTTTATGGATGGTTTTCTCGGTGCATTTGTACTCTCTACTTGGGATACTACTACTTGTTCAGCTGTGTGATTTCGCAACTTGGTTTTATGTATATCGCTCAC